TTCATTTTTTGAAGCTTAAACCAAAACAATCAAATCCACCATGTTTGTGCAAACCTGATGGCTTTACCTTTACAAGCCAAAGTGAACATTGTCATTGGCAATGATCATTTGCTAAGTTCCCACCATCAAAGCGACTCTGCTTGCTTTAGCTTCAAACCACCACAAAAAAACAACATTACATCCATTCCTAAAGGAAGGGTAAGTTTGTCGTCAATGCCTCTCGTCATCCTTTTATCTTCTCAACAATATTCGAAATTACTTTCCCCATGTCGAGCTCCTTCATACGAGTAAACGGTCGCTTCATGTCCTGTAAATGGAAGGTAAGAAATTATAAGTGAACTTTCACTTTATCGATCGTTTGAGGAGTGTAGGACTCGACTCAAGCCAATAATTACCAGAAGGCTGATAAACTTCTCGCCACCTCCACTCCGTATTTCAAAGCATCCTCTTCTTGGCTGCATAATTATTATTAAAAAAAATAGCAAAACGAGGAGGAAATATATATATATAATTTCATTAAACAAACATATCAGTTTTCTTTATTCAGAAGGGAGAAAAAAAAACCTATATACTTTTCAGTGTACGGCACAAAATTCACTGATTTATAGCAATCTCTTCCAATGAAATGATAAAATCCATGTGAGTAAAACTAAACTTCAATTAGATACAAAACATGCAGTCTAAATTTCAATATCTTAGAAAGAAATTCTTAGAATTGTAATACCTTAGGGAGGTGTCCAGTGTATGATTTCAGCTCTTTTCCCCAAAGTCCCTTGCTTGTTTTCACATACCCCACTACCACTATTAACTAAGAAAATCAAAGTGAGAATTCTAATGCCTTCATTGGTTTTCGTTTTTTGAGGTAGTACGAAGTTCAAAACCTGAGCCCTAAAAATGAAAACTCAAGTTGTCCCTCCTCGTGCAGCAACAGGAAAATATCAAATCAAAGACTCCTAATACCCCGTTTATCTACTTCTATCGATGTGGGGAGGAAAGAAACATAGCATTTCTGGTCGAACCGGCCCAACCCAACTAAGAAGAACCGAACTTGACAGACACATCTTTTTCAACTGTGCCCACGGACCCGTAAGCCCTCGAGGCAAGGCGAAAAGGAAGAGATGCTCTGGCTTTCTTTGGTCTTGAACTCACACCTCGCTCGAGAATGAATGTTGGAAACTCTTCGATGACATGTTCCTTTGAGTGCCTCATACCAATGGATGGAATTGTTCTTGCTTATATACCATAGATCGCCCATTTTCATAGCCAATGCAGAACTTTATTTTCACTCTTTGTTACTCTAATAATCCTGTTTGCACTCTTTGCAACTCTAACAATCCTACCCAACATGAGAGTCTGAGAGTCAACTCTTGACTAACAACAAAGGTCTCTCGTCTACTCCTAATTGACAACAAGAGCTTGCACTTATCCAAAATGTTTAGATAAAGCACAGCTACACAAATAACAGTGTAGGAACAAGATGTTGACCACAAGTCATACCCTTGGGATCTCTTTACCTCGAACAAAGGAACCTCTTCGAGTTCATCCACAAGTCTGTAATGATTATAAGGCTCACTAAATCATTTTTGTTTTGTCTTTGAGGATTTCCCCCACATGACTGGGTTTAGACAAGAGTCCCCCAAGTATCTCTACAATGATATGATATTGTCCACTATAGAAATAATTCTCATAACTTTGCTTTTGATTCCATCCAAAATATCTTGTACAGAGATAATTATCTTCACCTATATATACTATGGATCATCCCTTCTTTAGCGTAAAACTTTGTTTACACTCTCCTAACAATCACAACTCTTATGACCTTTAATACTACTGTGTGTGTGTATATATAACTTAATGCAAGTTCAGAAATTAAAGAACCAGGGGTTTCCCTGTCTCAATGTGACTCTGCCCCTACAGAGAACATGTGAGCTTGAAAACTAAACTGGAAATGCTTGGAAACTATAACCTCCACCTTCCACAAGATGGAAGACAAAGAACAAACTCAAAAGAGAATCAAATCAACTAACCATTATCGTGCACAAATTGTGATTATACTGGGATAAGAGAACAGAGAACCATGAATAGTTCTGCTCTTTAGAATAGCATATGAAAGTTAAAGATGTCAAAAGGATACCTTATCAGGGTTGACCAGCACAGTGATGCCAGGAACACCAGTCTCTAGACCATTCTGCACCTCGATGGCCCTTTTCTTGAACGATTGGCACTGTTTGCTACAAGAGAACAAAATTAAGGGGAAAACTGAAAAGTGTCTTAATATAAACACTGAGCAGGACATGAAAAAGGCAGAAGAATACAGAGACAATAACCAAGGAGGGGCAGGTGCCCCTTAAATTGTCTTGGATTACCAAAAAATACATACACGGAACTAAGATAATAAAGTTTTCCTCTAATTTGCCTCTCAAAGTTGGCTCCTCTAATGAAAAATTTTCCCTCTACCCCAGCAAGAGTATTCAACTTCAAAAGTATGCCAACGAAATAAGCAAACAATAATCGACCCTCCAAGAGTATTATGAGTAAGAATGCAAAAACTTCCACCATTTCATGTATATTCCTTAAATCCTACACCATCTTCCCCCGCCATCTCCCATTGCTGCTTCTCTTATAATCCTTCTCCATTCTTCTTCATTTCGTAGTTCTCTGTAACTTGAGAACTCTATAAAAACACATTTAACTTGAATGATGAGAACTGAGAATACAGGAAGCCATAGGAGACGGTAGAGCGGCACAAGAACAATGCAATATGGGTCAAAATGTTTACCCTACGGATTGGAGGCCCTGATCGATTATCCAGCGAAACCCTAAATGTGAAAACCACATTTGGCGGGGAATATCGAACCAGAAAGTAATCGAGCATCTCAAACCCTTGAAAGTTCAAGTGTTCAACTTCAACTTCAAATCAACTTAACCTACTTTCAATTTTCCTGACGATTTCCGAGAAACCAATCAAAATACACAAAATAAGGAACTCACCAATGTTCAATCACAACGGTTCTGTTCATCGCATCCTCGCCGCCAAGTTTCTCCGAAGCAGCACCAACTTCCACTTCCTCTTTCTCAGTCTCGACCTCCTCCGCCTCCGGCTTCCCATTTTCCTTCTGAGCACGCTTCGGCTTCTTCCTCACCGGCAACTCCGGCACAGGCCCACCGGCCTTCGAGTTCGCCGCCAGCCGGGCCGAACTCCGGGTTACCCTCGATGACGTCGGAGCAGGCTTGGCTGCCGCCGCCGCCGCCGCCGCCGGCTCATCTTCTTGCTTCGCTGTTCGCTTCTTCGGCGCCATCGAGAGAGGCCGAAACCCTAAAAAGCCAGCAAATTTCTTCTCTTGGCTCCCGCTGGCTGGAAGTGGAATGGAACTGAGAGATTACACACTTGTTCGAACGCGACCGTTGGTGGCGCTGCCACTCTTATATAGTGGCGCGGTTCGGTTTCCCGCGCTTTGTTGCGGCGGTGGATTTTGAACGGACGGTCAGGATGGATTGGGAGTGCGGGAATGGATATTGGCCGTTGATTGGGTGGTCGTACGACGTCCACGCATCCACTTTCGTCTCTGCTCTGTGGAAGCGAAGTGGCGGCACGAAGTCCCAAGGATAGCGCCACACTTCGCCACCATTTATTGTCACGTCACTTTTTTTCCTTTTTCTAAACTCAAATCTTTTTAATTACCTTAACTTTCGTAATTGGTGGGACCTATTTTAAATTTTGTAATAATTCTCCTAAAAATAAATATTTTAAGGTTAACATTATCGTTTCTAGTTTATTGTTTTCTCTTTTCAATAAATAAAACTAGAATAATATGATCTCTATAATAATGATATCTACCTTCTTTTTTAATTAACACATCTATGTTTTGTAATAAGATGGTAGCTAAAATAGGTTGAGATAAATGAGAGAAGGAATAATAGAACATAGTGTTTTGACGTTGAAAACTCCTAAACAAATTATGGTAAGAATTACGAATAATGATATAATAATTCTATTCAATAAAAATCATCGGAGTTGCAAACTTTATCTTTTATTAGAATAAACCCTCTCTATTTTTATCTCAAAAAGTTTCATACTTTCACTCGCTTGGAGTTGGGGATATGGAGACGGTTTTCCAACAATAGTGTCCACCTATTCATAATTTAATTATACTTGGTCATCAAGTAAATTCAAGTGGCCACAATTTTGTCACATTTTGGCCTGGGACAAAATTTATGATATTGTATTCAGAAATTGATTACATCTTATACAAATTTACCACATTTTAACCTTAAAAAGGTATAAAAATTAGTGGCCACTAGCCACAAATGTTCAACCCTCTAAAATTACTTACTGAACAAATTGATAAAATATCATTTAACACTTAACTTGGTTAATGTTAAATTCTTATTATTATAATTACTATTACTAGTGCTATTATTACATAAATAAGCCCTAGTAAATCATTTCCCTGACTATGACAACGAAGGTTTAAGGTTAAAAAACATATTTGGTCCCTGAACTTTGATTAAAGTAACGATTTAGTCCCTATTTAACCGAAGTGTAACGTGGATGTACATGTATACAAATTAAATGGACAATTGTATAGCCGGTTGGTTCAATCCCAAATCAGTTCAAATTTAGACCGGTTTAGAACTTAAAAATATATATATATAATGAAAAATGTCCTCTCTTTCACGACTTCTTCATAGTATATTCTCCAGCACCATCTTCGGCACCCTAAAGCCCCCTTCTCCCTCTCTTCCTCCTCTCCGCCGTCATGATACAGAAGTTTGTCGCTGGCGTCAACCCCACCCCTATCGACTGGGGTGGTTTAGATAAAAGATAAATTATAAATGAGCAGTGGTTCCAATTTTCCCATTGGATAACAACACAACCCTTCCCTTCCCTCTCTCATTTCCTAATGGTGGGTTTTCACTCCTCCCCTCTTCCCTTCTTCTATTTTTTTCCCTTTCAAGATGGTTTGATTGAAGATTCTCTCGACTTTGTGAGTTTTCTTTAATTTTTTTCTCGATTTTCTCGAAAGAAGAAGATCCAGAAGACGAAAGAGATTGCAGTGGAGATAGCGAAATCCTCCACTTTTAAATCCAATCATGGCGGCACCGAATCGGTACAGCACAGAAAGAGGGGCAGACCTTGCAAGGTTGTGATGAAACACAAAACGAAGAGAAGAACGAGGAACTTTACCGCCGGAGAAGAAAGTTAAAACCACCGAAGATGAGCAACCGCCGCTGCCCGCTGTGGAAGGAGGTGAAAAACAAGAGAACCAAATGAGAACAGAGGAAGGAGGAGGAAGAGAGATGAAAGGGAAGACATTTTCATTTTATAACATTTGTACTTCTAGACCGGTTCAAATTTGAATCGAACCGAGATTGAACCAATCGGCTGCATAGTTGTCCATTTAATTTGCACACATGTACATTCACGTCACACTTCCGTTAAATCTAACCAAAATTTTAACAGCATGGACTAAAATGTAACAAATTTAAAAGTACAAGGACTAAATTATTACTTTTGAAAGTTCAGGGACTAAATCGTTACTTTATTCAAAGTTCAAGGACCAAATATGTTTTTTAACCAAAGTTTAAAATACCCATCAATATATTGATACATCAATAGATGTCGATATATTTTCAATATCTTGTATAAATATTAGTGAAACATATAAAATATAATTAATTACCACCAAAATAAATATAAAATATTAATTATAAAAATATAATTTATTTAGGAAGTAAAGATAATTTATTTATTAATTAAATTATTTTTAACTTATTTGTTTATCTACCGTAATATCTATCAATATTGTATTTCACAATTTAAATGCAGGTGAAAATGAAAAGTCATGATTTATTAGTATGTTATTAATAATCTTAATAAATTAAGTTGTATCTGGGTTGATAAATATGATTGACATAAATCTCCACTCCCACATTGTTTACCAGAAGAAATATGAATATTATAAAACTTTACGAGAAAAGTATTGATAGATTGGTACTTGCACATCATTTAAATTTACTCTTTGCATAATTATATTTTATTTCTTATCATTTCAAAATTTCAATTATCCTTTAAGACCTCTTGGTTGGAATCTTGAGTTAAATTTTCATAAATAACAAACAAATCTCAGACTAAAACTTTCATACAAATATGTTTCAATCCACATTATCAAAATTGAAGTTCAAAGACATACCAATTATATAAACTACTCCTATCAAAATCAATTAGAATATTATGTGATAATGTTTTCGTTCGTTATATGATAAACGAAGAAACATAAAAAGTAGTCAAAATACTTAGATTTCTTAAGTAAAATTGAAAACAAAAAACAAAGAAACAGTATCGACTAAATGGACCTAAAACTAAAACTTTAGAAATACTACAGTTACATTCTTGAAAATAAATCTATCTATAGATTCAACGGTCACAAAAAAGAATGCTCTGTCAAAGCTACAAATAGCTGCAAGCTCAGTTCAAAGAGTTCATCTTATTCTACAGTCGATGAATCCATCTCTTTAAATTAAATGACAACTAAATAATTTAAAAAAAAAAAAAAGCAAAGATAATAACAACAATATTTGATAGTACAGAAATAAATAATACAAGAAGCAGATATCCTCTCTGATCGACTTCTATCTGCATTGCAAGAACTAGAAGGTTGAATTCTTCCATTCTCGAGGCTCTATCTCAAAAAATAAAAAATATTAAAATAAAATAAAATAAAAAAGTGTGTTGTCTTGTCTGAACCCGTTAACAAGAGCTTAAATTTCTCACATACCTCTAACGAGATTAGACTAATTGAAAAAATTATTCGATGTAATGAAGTAAGGTTGAGAAGACGAATCAGAACAACCAATGACAAGCTGCCAACTCGGGCGGCTCCATGTCAAAAATCTACCTAAAAAGAATCAACTAATGGATGTTGACTAATTGAAAAAATTATTCAAAGTTTTTTTTCTTCAAAGAAACAGAGAATATATTTCAATTCACGAAAGGCAAAAACAGTTGAGAAAATCTCCCCCAAGAACTATACAATAGCAGCTTTCCAATCTCGAATAATCATTTGAAGACTATAATTAACGAAAAAAATTATTCAATGTGATTGTCCTCTCGAACCTGTAAACGAAAGTTTAAATTTCTCTCTCTTACCTCTAACAGCCTAAACAGCCGTGTAATTGGAGAAAAGATGCAACAGTCTTCCGAGAGTTTCTGGATAAAACTTCCTGGCAAATAGATGACATGGTCTTCTCACTCCGTTCCAAAGGCAGGCCTTGAGTATCACCCTCCTCTGCAGAATCAAAACAAATATAATTTTGAGTGAAAAAATTCTTATTAAGGAATAAAATATTACAAAGACTTCAAATGTTAATTTTAATTAGTTACATGAAAATTTCACACCCCAAAGTTCACACCAAACTCACCTTAACATCATTTTTGTTTACACATTGTCACGTTCAAATAAACGGGATGAAATAGAAAATTTTCATAGAAGGGATAAAATTTTACAAGCTAGCTTCTTATATAATATAATCTTTCCATTTCAAAATCTCAATATTTTATGATCATATTTTGAATTTAAGATAAACCAAGTAGCATAATGCCCGTGTTTCCCGCTCCATCCCAAACAAGACTTAAAATTTTCCAAACCAAAATGAAAAGTAAAACACATAATAAGCCCATGGAAATATCAACAAAATTAACTTCACAATACAAAAAAAAAAGGAGAGTTAGTTAGGTACTCAAACATCAATCTTCGTACTAACCACCAACAAAATTTGACAGTTTTTATTAATTTTTTTAAATAAAAAAATATATATTTTTCTGTATTTCTATCCCCTTTCGTTAAAAATTTAATGGTGGTCAGTCAAAGATGGGTGCGTAAGCACCTAAATTTTTTTCATACAAAAATAGTTACGTACCGGAGTAGTACTCGTAATGTGGACACTTTCGTCAAACGACTGTGAATATAATAAAATTATCAGAAGTCAGAACCCATGTTTTCATATACTAGAAACATAAACGTAAACGTCACAAGAGAAGTAAAATTATGTGTCACGTACGGTAAGGTTCTTCAGGAGTTCATAGGTGACATCTTGATTCCTATACGATCTTGGATGCCACTTTCCCTCAGACCAATCAACATATGTTACCGACCAATTTGCAATTCCACCGGGGTCGATCATCTGATGTAAAAGAACAGATCAGACACACAGATAATAGAGTCAAATCATAATGTTTATATTCAGTGAAGGATCGTGTACCGACGTTGAAAAGGGTTGGAAAATAGTGCTCATCAGCATAGCAGTTGGGGCCGTCCTTGGTTCGCTAAGAAAGTCAAGCAATAAAAGAAGTTATTGGACAGAATTTCTGATGAGCAATGACTTGAGAAAGAAAAAACACGGAATAAGTATGTATTAAATTTAAAGCAAGCAACTTAAATAAATAAGCAAATTACAAGAGAATACTAATTAAGCTAAACAGTGTAGGCTGAAACTACATAGAAAAAGTTAAGGACAAAATTGTAGGAACCTCCTGCAGCTCCCCACTAACTTTTTGACGAATAGCAGAGAGGAACGCGAGGGAAAAATAAATACTTGTCAAAAATTTAGTGAAGGTATAGTTCGAAGGTTAATGTATGAGAATCAAGCATGTGCTTCAACTCTCAAGTATCCATTTCTAAGGAACACTACAACCATATTAAGTCAACCTGCCTTCATATACCAAAAGACGGAATGGACAAAAACTTTGGCGAGAAAGATAGATGAGTGCAAGAACAGTTAACTTGATCGCTCCAATTTTGATATTCATTAGCTAGAGAGCTAAACCACGACTAACACAGAAGAACCATGTATTTGATTTAGTAACAGATTGTTTTAATATAGAACTAACGTTCCAGATGTGAAAGACAGAACGAGTCGTAACTCGGAAGCAGAGTCTGATAATCGGTCTAAAATCATCACAACAGTAACAGATGAGGTCACTACGACCAACAGATTACCTTGCAGTAACGCTTGAATTTTGTAAAGTAAAGACTGTCGGCCATTATAATAATAGCATGTTGTCGCTTCATGGAAAACCACTGAATTTACAAGGTTAAAAATATTTGGAGTGAGTATTGCTATATGACATATTGAAAAGAAATAAATAAATAAAGATTTCATCACAATTTTCAGCTGTGATGAAAGTACTCTCCATCTACCAAAGAATTCAATACAAAAAAGGGAAGATGGATAAAGGACTAGACAAACGAAGGATTGATTTCATTCACTTTATCTGCCAGGCTTATATCCTCAACAAAGTATGCAAATTTTACTTGGCATAGGTTCATTAACATCTATCCCAAACTGGAGAGAGAGGAGAAGAAGAAAGTAAATGGAGGGCATACTTCCTTTACAAATAATTACTCACCAATCATCGACACCGTCTCTTGGAGAAAATGAAGACATATTCCATGGGATAACTTATCCAAAAAAGAGTATTATATTTTATACCATAAACATCCCACCCCACATTCCCACACCCTACCGAGCAAAAAAATGTTATTGAATAAATGTTAAAATCCGATTTTTGCCACATATACCCATGAAAATAAAAAATATTATACGAGCAGTTGGATTTGGATGTAGTACTAGAACTCAATATACGACTATACATACCTGAGAACCTTTACGGAAGTCTTTCTTTTCAATTTCAGGTGCCATGCGCTCTGAATACCTGCCATTTCCGTGGGGACCCTGATCTATAAAACTGGAGTAGAAATATTGTCATCAGATTGGCAGGAGATCATTGTCATTTAGATTGGTCAAGAAGATCGAGTTAACAGCTAACTAGCAAAGGTGTTCCAATGTTAAAAAATAAAGTTGCCTTACCAATCAATATAGCTGACATTTGTAAATATCAAATAGTTATAAACATACTCAAAGTCGTGAAGGGGTACACAACTGAAACAGAAGGAAGGATAAATAGTGATCAGATAAAAATTCATTGCATCTATATGATGCACGATCTTCTATTACCGAAAGACCGATGAAAAAAAAAAGTACCACCACCTTTCAGATAACAGAACAAAGTGCCGATTATCTGGGTCTAGAAGTGCATTTGCCAAAAGTCTCTTCTCTGCATCAACCATAGAAATTTCTCCCCAGGCTACCTGAATATAGTTTGCTAAGAGTTTCAAATCGCCAACTATTTCATATAGGAGAGCTAATAAATATATGAAGCTATGCATTATTGGCATTACCATCCATAACAAAAAGTACATGGATTGATACAAGACATCACAAATAATGATAGAAGAGACTACCATGGAGTTAATACAATGTTCTCACACCCATTGCCACTTTCAAGACACCATTTTCCAGAAGAACTATCACATTCAAGTATTGACATCAGATCTTAGCCCAAAAAATAAGTTTGACAAAAAAAAGAAAAACCAAAATTACAAGTATCATATAATAAAAACCTGTGTATACACAAATAATAACATTGATGAATAAAGGATAACACAGAGCGAAGAAAATTAAACGTATTGCTGACTATTGGTCATTTGACAGCCTGTTGTATCTGCCTCTTGAAGACAATTTAACAACTCTAAGACACATCAAGAGGAGTCAAAAAGTCATCGTGGAATTAGGCATGTGAAAAAATGTTCAATTTAATTTATCAAGTGCTGTGGTTTGAGAAAATTATGCCTTTTTTGTTCATTTTCATGCCACGCATCAAATAATGCTACTTTAGTACTAATAACTACATAGACATGCAGATAATAAGAAAGATTCTGCATGGTTCACCTTTTCGCTGCGAATGGCATGACCTACAAAATAGGGGCTCGTGTATGTTGGTTTGTCTCTAGATGCATGCACATATAGAGAAAATCTGTCGTCATGACCCTGAAAGACAAGGACTGATTAAGCATCGAAGTCAATAAAGTCAAGCTGACTAAAGGTGCAGTGGAAATCATCTCAAACATAGATAAACTGATGAAAATCATCTCTAATACAAATTGAACAAAAAAAAAAAAAAGCATTCAAGATCCAAGATTGAAAATAAAAGCCTTACAGCAAAAAATTTATGCCAGAGCTTCTCAAAAGGTAGTGGACCTGGAGTCAAAAACATAAAAGCAATTTTCGGATTCTTAGACTGAGCTAGAGGTCTCTTCAAAATTTCCTTGATTACAACCCGAGCTGCAGTCTCTTCATCTGTTAATTCCCGCTGAGCAGTGGGCCGGTGCTGTTCAAATGCACCATTGAGACAACCACTAGAAAATATATAACAAAGCAGAGAGCTTTTTGGCGAATAAACGTAGGCGCCAACTAGATATACGCTGACCAATGAAACCATCATACTAATGTATACAGCCGGCTTTAAGTATGGCCTTTGACGTGATCCTGGCATGGTGAATGTCTATCATCCAAGCTACCATGCACGGTCAAATTTGTGATTAAGCCATAGTGGCCGTATGTTCATGTACCCGGTAAGAACTTTATCACTATCTTCCCTGATGCCTCGCCTTTAAAATCAGAACAGATGAAAGAAAATTAACACTCGTCATTTACCAGCGAACACCTGAAAACACACGAGCATCAAAATTCTCAGAAAAATTCATCTACAATGACCTCAAAAAAAAGTAACCCATAGCCGTGCATAAGAAAAGAAATACAGTTTAACAGATATCTAGCCCAAAGAATATATGGTTGGGTATTTTGTCTGCCCAAATAGGCTTCACATTCCTACGTATCGTTGGGAATGTTGATCAAAATTTATAAAGAAAGTGGATAAATGAAACACTTGTTTCTTATCAACAAAAATTATACATAAATAAAAATAAAAAAAGAAAGTGCATGGATTGGAATTGTCCATAAGATATGGAAATCGGCACGGGCACACTAAACGCCTCTATGGAGCTACTTGGCTTCACAGTTAAAATCATACTCCGAATAAGAAAAAACTTGGCTCTTTAAAGTTATCCCACTTAATCCCATTAAATATTTGACAATTAACAGAGACAAACGTAAAAATAAAAAATAATGAGTTGTCAAATATTGAATGGTAAGAAGAAAATTTTTCCTTTTTAACTCTAAGGAGCCAAGTTTTTTTCTTTTGACCATCGAAAAACTTAATAAATTCCGATATAAAGAAATAACAAAAGTTCCAACGATCCCTTCTTCATCCATCCGCACGAGGAACGCAAATGTAGATGGAAAATAAATGGCCACAATTATCGGAAAGTTTCAAAGGAATAAGGCCGGACGATGGCAGATTAATTCAAAACAACAACAATAAAGAAAGAAAATCACCAATACAAATTCCACGCAGAATAAGCCGAATCAATGACGTCTCCGGAAGCTAAAAGAAAACTATCAAACGAATTTCAAACACACATGACAGATCAAACAATAATCAAATAAACAAATCGCAGTAATGAGGATGCGAATGGAGAAGGAAAAACCAGCAGCAGGTGATCAAACAATGAACAGTAATCAAATAAACAAAACGCAGTAATAATGACGCGAGTAAATAAATCGAAAAAAGTAGCAGTGGTAAAACGATGAACAGCAATCAAACAAACAAAACACAGTAATCACGACGCGAATAACAAATTGAAAAAAAAAAGTAGCAATGATCAAACGATGAACAGCAATCAAATAAACGAAACGCAGTAATGAGAATGAGAATGCAAATGGAGAATGGAAAAAAAAAACAAAAAAAAAAGTAGCAGTGATCAAACGGTACTGAACAGAAATCAAATAAACGAAACGCAGTAATGATAATGCAGATGGAGGAGAAGAAAAATACCAGTGATGAAGAGGAGATGGTAGAGAGTAAAGTAGGTTCGTGGAGTTGCAGAGATCTGAGCGGGAACATTGAGGAGCATAAGATTTATTGTACTGGATGTGGAAGGAGAAGGATGACGTGAGTTTACAAATTCCAACCAAAGCGAAGAGAGCGCCTCGGCCGCGTAACTTCCGGCATAATTTTCCCACGTCATTTTCTTCCTATTCTTGCCAAATGCCACCCTCTAATTTTCTTGTTTTCTTTTATACTGTTTCTTGTCACTTTTTTATCGTATCACCATTTCTGTGCGTCGCTCGCCACCAGTAAACTATTTTGGTCCTATATGCTACATTTTAATTTTTTGTATTAGTCTTTTTTTTTTTATTGAGTAAGTTAAGGAGTAATAATAATAATAATAATACAATAATAATAGCTTCCTATTTAATGTCATTAAATATTTGACAATATAAGGACCTAAGATTAACATTGAATATTATAAGGATTAAAACGAATCTAATAATACATGTACCAAAATAATTTTTTAATACTATTTTGGCTTCCTGTATTTTATATTTGGATTCATTTTCGTTCATGTGCTCTTAAAATGTCTATTTTAGTTTCAATATTTTCAATTTTGGTTCATTTTAGTTTTTACATATATAAAACGTACATTTTTATTCGTGTACTTCAAAACAGCAAACATTTTGGTTACTGCTTGCAAAATTTTAACATGAATTTTACACACAGTGAAATTCTTTAATACAAATTTATAGTTATATTTTAAGAAATGTTGTGAGTGTGGTGTCATACTAAGGGTATGTTTGGAAGTTATTTTGACATGTCAAAATAACTCTTGCGATTATCAAAATCACTCTCATTTCCATTTATCGTGTTTGGCAAATAAAAAAAATTGATGTTAAGAAAACATAAAATCACTTCAAATTGATTTTCAAGACATCACTTGGATGATGATTTTGAAAAATCAATTATTGTTAAATATAATTTAACAAAATCATTCATTCTACCATCAGTGCTGCTGGACACGCCCTATGTTAGTGACCATAATAAGTGAGATGAAAATGAAGGAATCAAAATGATTACAAATGCATGAATTAAAACGATGTTTTTAAATTACATTGACTAAAATTAACAAAAATGAATATTATCGGTACCAAAATAGATATTTTAAAAGTATATTGACCAAAATAAATGAAAGTCAAATACCAATTTAATATTTAAACTTTTTTTTATTATAATTGAAAAAAAAATGAATTACGTAGACAGCACAAAATGAATATGTATATTTATATATATAGCATTATATTTAAACATTAGACATAAATTGCAAACTCATATGCTCACGTGTTGATATAAGACCAACCAAAAGTTCATTTTTGTAATACATGTCATTTCGTATAATTTAAAAAATATTACTTATTGAGATTCCTTACTAAAAAAATAAAACAATTATATACATTTTTTTGTATACTGCAGACTTTATAATACAACTAATATCTATGACTATTCGGACAAGTTTACTACACTTCGATTAATCTCACGCGACAACGGTTTAATCCTACAATATTTGTGCCGACCAATATATAAGAATCCTAAAGTAGGTGATCATCATAGTATTTGAATTATTAATAATTTATTTGCCGTTTATATACTCATAGAACTTTATAATATAACTACCAATAATTTAAGGTCACATGTTAACAAATTTTACCAAAGAGGTAATTTAAAATTTTAATACACTAACAATAAATTTGAGAATTAAAACAAATTAAAGAAAGAAATTGAGAATTACCTAAAAAAGTTGGATTTTTTTTTTGTTCATAGTTGTCTTAAATATTCGAAAAATAAGGATAAGTGGTATATTTTTCGGGGTGGGCATAAAAATCAAAAGCGGGAATCTGAAAGATAAGGCTGCCATAAACTTTGCTCACTTGGCCGAAAGATAAGCCAGTAATCCATCTCGTGGGTCCTACCTGCGATTTTCTCCCGCCCACATTGCGGTGGCGAGGCAAATGATACCGTTCGGTTCATCGTCTGAACCTCTATGATTTCCATGGCTGCCTCGGCTACTTCAGTTGCACTTTTGCCGGCGAAATCAGTATTCAGAGGGCGTGTTGAGCCGTCGAGATCGAAGTTTCTCGCTTCACGCTCAACATCGTCGGTTCCATGTCAATCCGCTTCAATTTCATCAAGCTCTTATCGGCGCAAACCATTGGTGATTTTGGCGTCGGTTTCGACTTCGGATCCTCAAGTTCGAACGGGTCCAGATCATCTCGTTGCGTCCATCCTCTCGAAGGTAATGTTTTCGGACTTTCTTGCCTTATTCGGGTTTGCATAGTTGGGACTGGCTCTAGGGTAATTAATAACTTTTTTAGGATCTGAATCGGGAAATCGTAGTAGAAAAGGAGTAGCAAACAGATGCTTTAAATGGTGGCAGTGAGTGGTGTTTGAGTAACGGAGTTTCTAAACTCTGTGAAGTGTAGTGGGCTTGGAAATTTCCTCGTGGACGTGGATCATTCAGTTGGTTAAGTGAGCTAACATGATTTCTGCTCGAGCTTGTTCAGGAGGATCTTGGTAAAAATGTATTATCTGTAGTAGTAGAGTCCCGTTGACTGTAATTCTAGACAGTGCCATTAATTTTTGCTCTGATTTCAGAATTTCTATTGCAAAAATTATATGCAGTAGTAAAGTTCCACTCACTGACTGTAACTTTAGACAGTGCCATTTTCATTTTTGCTCTGATTTCAAAATTTTTATTTGCGGAAAGCTGATCTCATACTCTGAAGCAGGTGACACAAAGTGATAGAGGAGTTTTACTAACTGAAGAAAAACATAAAGAGGTTGCTGAAGTGGCTCAAGAATTGCAAAATTACTGTGTAAACGAGCCTGTTAAATGCCCTCTCATATTTGGAGGTAATACTTGAACAGTTCTTCCGTTTGTTGTTGGATATTTAATCTTTTCGATACTATGAGTATATGGGGCCAGTTTTACACGTACCTCTAACATCATGGTACATTTTGCCTAACTTTACAGTTTTTGGCTTTTTGCTGTTGAGAAACTGGTATGATTTTAATATTTTTAACCTGAGATTTGAACTCATTACCAAAATAGTGATTTTCTTGTCATATATATTCTAAAACACATTTACTCATCCTGCAAAGGACCAGCCTATTTGATCAACTTCGTTTTAGCCAGATTGGTGTTGTCCGTTTCTTCTCAGTTGTTGCAGGGGTGAATCGATAGAAGTTTGCCCCCTCTCGGTTCGCTTAGATTAAGAAAATTATATAAAAACATTCAAGATTTTAAAGTTTTCTATTTAGTTTGCCCCTCCCTACATTTTCAGAATTCCCGAAATTTCTGGCTCTGCCATGTTGTTGCTCATTTCTCAGCTCTTGTTTGGCTAACCTAATTGAATCCTATCTCAGATTGGGATGTAGTGTATTGTTCTGTACCGACATCGCCTGGGGGTGGATACAGAAGTGCAGTGGGTCGCATTTTTTTCAAGACAAAGGAAATGATTCAGGTTGTTGAAGCTCCTGATACTGTAAAAAACAAGGTGTCCTTTTCTGCTCTTGGGTTCTTGGATGGACACGTCTCCTTGACAGGTAAAACTCAAAATCTGCCTCTCTAAAGAATAAAACTTGAGAGTGAGACATCCATTCATAAGCATATCAGAACTTTAAATAGATATCTGGAAAACTAAGGTCTCAGTGACATAGCTGTAATCTGTGATAGATTCTTGATTTTGCTGGACTTGCTGTGGATATTTGTCGTATAGTTCTGGCAACTAGTTTTATAAAAGGCTGAATTTTAGATGATTTTTTAGGGTAATACTTTAAAGTAAAACACCTGTTCTTTGAACAATTTTGAAAGAAGCATAATACTAAAGAAACCCAATACTTTTTAATTTGTGTGCTTCTTTCAAAAGTATTTAAAGGAATAAGTAAAAATATTACTTCCACTCTTTTAAAGAAGAACTATTTGTCCCAAATATATAACATATATCCTAAGCAAGTCAACAAAAATCAAGAAGCTATGTCATTTCACTGAGGCCTTAGTTTTTCAAGTGCTTCTTCTAGTACTTCAAAATGCTTGTATGCGTGTTTAAAATTTTCAAATAAACAACATGAAAGTATAGAAAGTGATTTTAGGGGCTAAGAACACCCGAATACTAAACCCGTCTTAAGGCTAACTTAATATCATGATCGGTGATTTTAGACATCCAAGTTTTTCATTCTTTTTAAGTTCAAGTAGAGATTCAAATCTCCAACCTGATTTATACCTTAACCAGTTGAGTCATGTTTAGATTGGCAAAACATAAGTTTTTATGCGTCATGAATCTGAAACACCATAGATGCTCAGGACCAAGTTTCCAAATTTTAAAAGGCCAACCATTACTAATTCATTTGGCTTGCTATGTTTCATTTATTATGCATTTTGGTATATGGATTTAGGTAAACTGAAGGCACTGGACGATAAATGGATTCAAGTTGTGTTCGAACCACCAGAACTGAAAGTTGGGGGATTTGAGTTTCGATATGGTGGCGAAAGTGAAGTAGAACTCCAGATTACGTACATAGATGACAAGGTTCGACTTGGGAAGGGATCTAGAGGTTCATTATTTGTTTTTCGGAGACGAGTTTGAAGCTACTAAGTTAAACTGAGATTAACGCTTATCTCTATGCTATTTTTGTACCTCGAGATTCTCATATAAAAAGCTACAGATTAATATTATTAGAGATTAGTGTTTATTATTGCAGATTGCTTGGATGAATGTTGGGTTAAACTGTATATTTTATCTTTGTAACTCATCAGGTTTATTTGAGATTCGTAATAGACAGATCAAAATGACCGATCAGAAGTAGTGGTTTTTTAAGATGAAATGTTTAATATTTTTTTACTGAGAGAATTCATGAGCAGGGCGTGCTTCAGAAGAAACGATCTACGAGTCTGTATTATTGGGAATAACAAAAATATCTTTAAATACTCAAATTTTTTTAGAAATTATTTGAGTTTTAGCAAAAGCCACCTTCAAGGTTGTATCGAAGAGAACATTGAAAGAAAATGTTACTCTGCGAAGAATAAGATTCATTAGTACTAGATTCATAGAATTAAAACACACTGGGAAGAAACATATCAATATTCCTTTAGAAACACCAAAAATAAAATTCCAGTGGGAAATGAGACATGTCGATTTAGGTTTTTTTTTCTTTATTTTCGTTTAAAGGTTTTATTTTAATACTGCATTGAATCTTACCTATAATTATTGTTAGTAAACTAGCAAGAACTAAAACAAGGTTGCCTTTTGATCGCTGTCTTACTTTTTTATATGTTAGTTGGAAACTTAAGGATGAGAGTGATGTCTCAAAATGTAATACTATAACCATAACTCTACTTTATATCATATTCAAGTTAAGTCGTTTAATTATATATATATATATATTTTAGATTTTAAATTTTATATTAAATAAAAAATATAAATTTAGGTTGAGTTGAATTTCTATATTTGAATAGTCATAGTTATTCTCTTTTATTTATTATTATTTTTAACTAATTTTATTTTAATTTTTAAGTACAATACTTATGGGGAGGAGGGACCAAACTTCGACCTTGAGATAGGTGTCTTAACCGTCTAGCTAAGCTCATGTTAGCTTCTCTTTTATTTATTTATTATTTTTTATCGTTAAAAATCAAATAATAGGTAAAATGGAAATATATACAATGGATTTCGGGCCCAGCCCAATAACATCTCGGGAATTTCCAAAAATGTAAATAAAAAAAATAAATCGAAGAAAGGAGGAGACTGCAGTCTGCTTGGAGCGGCGACGAAGACGCCGTCGGAGCGCAGCCGGCAATACGGACCTCGCCGCAGCCGTCGATTTCACCGGCGTCGTCGAAACTTTGGGCCTTATATGTAACATATTTTCTCATTTGCTTTCGAATCACGAAGAGAAATCCAGAGCAGAATATTCGGCAATCTCGATGATGTTTACGGCGGTGAGCCATCCTCCATCGTACTTTTATCATACACTTCTCTGTTCAGAAATTTTTCTATATGTTGGTTACTTGTTCTTTTTGGTGGCTCAGTTGACAATTCAATCGCCACCGTCCCACATTATCGTGTTCGGAATTCTGAACGGAGCCCTTAACTCCTTTAAGCGCGATATTTCTCGGATGTTCGCCATCTTTTACGGTCAACCTAACATTGATGCAGTGGTGAGGTAAAATGACTACACACTTCGATGCTTGGACTGAAAGGAGTGCGAAACTGCATCGAGTTTGCACTAATTAATCGGCCCTTTTGTTTGTTAACATTAAGAAATGGAGAGCATCTTCTTTGTGCATGTACATCATCTTGTTTCTTTGCCTGCTCTTAACTTGGTTCTGTTTAAGTGATTGGTTTCCTCCTCGCTTTTTGATGCTATGAACTTCACTGTGTTTTCTGATTCTGATTATTACATGGGAAGGTCTAAAAAGGACGAGGATTCATTCCCTTCTGCTGTTAAAAGTTTGATGACAACTGTTGATGACCATTGCGAGTTGAGATCCTTGGATTGCTTTTCAGAAAAGCATAATTTTGATGGCGAAGGAGATCCGCGGGCTGTTTTCAACGTGTTGGACGCTCTGCTCAAGGGTAGTTTGGACCGTTTGAAAGCCATGAGGTGATTTTGCTTTTTCTTTGATTATGATTTAATCAGATTTGTTTTTCACTTTGGTGTTGTAGTTTGAAATGTCAATACATAAACATACATTTCTTCAATGTGAATGTGGATAGATGAAAGCCGTCCTACTTATTTAATGAATAACACCATATTGTTTGGCCTTGTTTAATGAATGGAATCACTATGTCGCTAAAACATTGCAACAACCAGAAATTTTTACCTGCACTAACACTAACTGCAGCTTAATTTATTTGGCCTTATGGATCCTTCTATCTAAAGGATCTGATTGGAAGGTATTTCTTATGTCAGCTTATTCCTGTACTTAGTATGTGATAGTTAGTTGTAAGTTAACTTTGCTCTTGAGCTGTAATTCTGT